TTAGAGGTTCACTTATATTGAATTAGTGGTAACCTGACTGTTCCACTTATGAAGGGGTTCCACTGACAGAGGTGTTCCACTGACAGATGTGTTCCACTGACAGATGTGTTCCACTGACAGATGTGTTCCACTTACAGAGGTGCTCCACTCTAGAGGTTTTACTGTATATGGTTTAGTATATTCCATACCCAAAAAATCAAAAGTGAGAAATAAACAATGAGGTATAAGGGAGGCACTGACTTCAAATACATCACCATAGGAAATATGCATGTAGCTCATGTTATCAATTGGAGAGAGAAATCCATGGCCTTAAAGGGAGGTAAAGACCAAATGGTCAATAGAGAGATATCGCAACTCACTTATAGCATGTTTATTATTCCTGAACAATATATAACTTATGGATGTATAGAGCTGTGCAATTAATGACGACGTAATCAAACGCTTCATACGTTATACGCTATATTGGAATAATAAACATGCTATAAGTGAGTTGCGAAATCTCTCCATTGTCTGGTAAAAATCATTAACAATCCCAAATCACCCAAAAACACAAATAAGTCATAAATTAATTTCCACGAAATATCTATGATATAATATATTGTCATAATCCATAAATACAAAATAATAGTCATAAATTATATAGAACGCTTTGAACAATAAGATAATTTACATTATATACAATTACATTTTTATAAGGTTTGTTCTTCCTGATATGAACAACAGTTAAAGGATGTAAGAGGGATAGAGAGTGTAAGCATTCAAGCATTCTTTTCAAAAACCATGAAAATCCAAATTTTCTTTTCTAAAGAAGAATCGAGATATCTTATTAAATTGTGACAATTGTTTTTGAAAATTACTCTAAACTAATCTCTTTCCCATTTAGTCCCTTTAAACTCACTCTAAATCCTCTTCATTGAGTTGACATTTTGGATTGAGCCCCATGCATCACCCCATATAATGGGAAAAGGTGGCTATGGGCCGACTCTGAAGGGTTTAAAATGTCACAAAATCAGGATGAACCAACCAATTTAACAGTCTAATAATATCTATTTGATGAACATGTTTAGAAATGTACATTCTATCCTGTACAGGGTGACCCGACAATTGCAACCATGTAATTTTGAAATAACTGTCTTAATTATACTTTTCTTTTGTACACTGTACAGGGTGTTCAATTGAGCAAACAGTGGTATACATACTTATATCACATCTATAATTAAAAGAAATCAAGTTTTCTGTCTAGGTATGCCCTTATGTTAGATCTTCCAAATCTGTCCAAAAATTCAATTTTCTAAAATTGTGATTTCTGTCTTTGCCATTATTTGAGTTTTTTTGGTTATTCTCATACAAATTATCAATGATGTTATAATTTTTTTTGAAGTTGTAGATGTAAGTACACCACTGTTTTCTCCAGTAAAGATTGCCTTTTTCGGGGTCACCCTGTATTTGGATTTCACCCTCTTCACATAAGTAAACAAATAATAGTTCAGTAGACATTCAATGAAATACAATTTGCAGTTTCTTGCTCAAAATGCATCAACATTTCATGAATTTACATGGATGGCTTTTCCTATCCTAAACTATAATAAATATTAAACTGAAAATATAGTTTAACACTATAGTGCTTTAGCCTATGTAAAGAACTAAGTTTGGAATTCAAATGACTAAAAATATTCCTCAGATTTACATAAGAGGAGGGAAGACCCCAGAGCTTCAGTGATGACAGACATAATTCTCTTGCTTACCACCTCGTTATTCTGAATTTTCACCTGCTATTTTCAGAATACCACAAGTCGATGTGATTTTTCAATTGATGTTAGCATATTCCTTACATCTTTCTTAATCTGGATGTAAAATAACAAGCTATGATATTGGTTAACACGAAAGAAATTAACATAACATCATTCGAAGCGTATTTCAAAAATTTTGAGGCCGCCATTTTGTTTGTCAATTTTGACCAATCAGGATGATACGTCATTTCAATACAGATTAACATTATAGACATATGTCATCCTTGAACACTGCCCCCCCCCTTGACCTACATTATAGTGGCTTTGAGAAAATATATGGTATTTTCACAGAGGTGTCTATAGGATTGTCTATACATTCACATACATTCATTGTGATGGACGATCACAATTGGGAAATTAATCAAAGAGAACAATAAGGACTATCATCTCTTAAAGTATACATAAATAATGAAGAACTATTTGACAGTTACAAAGTGCATGTAAATATTGTAATGAACATGATATACTGACAGTAAACATTGTAATGATGACAATCATGTGTAACAAATGACACTGACCCGAATATCAGATATACTTTTCAATGTCAATTTTATGTCACAATTATATGTCATGGTACATGTTGTACTAAAAATGTCACTGTCAGTCTGCTCAAATGCCCATGGGCATTTCCTGCCATATTTCTCTCAAAAATTTGGAAGAAGTGTCTAATTTTCCAGCAGTTCTGCATAATATTGAGTTTGGACCTCATCTCTGTATATTCCATTTTTAACATTTTCTATATTTTTCTACTGGATATCACATTTTAAAATACGTACAGCCAACTTTACATTCAACATATTCATTAGTATAGGATTGTTGGGCATGAACTTTATGTGTTGTTACTAAAGCTATGTACAATTTATGTGAAATATACATCAATGGAACTTTTATACAATATACTGGTACTTGTACATGGATATCTAGTTCAATTCTTAATTACAAGAAAAGCCTCCGTTAATCTTAAATGGGAGAGCTCTGCCAATAGATGGCATCACTGACAATAAGATTTTGACGTTTCCAATATTTCCCAAAAAATTATTTTGGATAATATTCAAGAGTTTGATGCCGAATATCTAGTCAAACACAATAATGCATTGAAAATTATTTTTGGTTTAGTTATCATAATGCAATTTCAGTGAAATAATATGTTATCCAATACAACAAGAAATAGCAAATGACCCAACTGTGAGTGCCATCTATAGGAGTCAACAACTACATTGGCCATATTTTCTTTGGGCAGCATGCTTGACTGATGACTATATCTTAATTCACAAACTAATTCATGTAGAACTTCCTGTATTCCAAATGAACTATAAAATCTAATTTGATTTCATTTAACATTATGTACAATTTCTGCAGATGGCAATTCAAGAGGAATGACTCTACTGATATTAAATTTCTATTTCCACACTTTTCTGACTCTACATAATGTCCTTCTTCCTTGAACATGTCAAAAGTCTAATCCTTGCCAAATAATACCAAAGGTTTAAGATGGAATTCAATATTGAACAAGGATTTATGATAACATATCAAATATGAATTACTAGTTAAAGATGCAAAAACTGTACTAAAATTGAAAATTTGGATGGTGACTTCAACTTTCAGAATTACTACCATAAATCCCCTTTAAATTGAGACATTGTCAGATATAAAGTCAGAACCAAATCTGACTTTTTTAATAGAACTGGTAAAGCAAATGTAATAAGTATAAATAAAAATATAAAAAATGTGATAATTATTCAAAAACCCTCTACTTTTCCCAATCCTGCATTGCCTCTTTAACCTCTTGAATCCCAGGCTCTAAAATAAGTTGAAACCAGAGAATATTTCATTTTGCCACCTTTTGACATTTTACAACATACCTATACAACCTTAGATGCTCAACTTAGTAAAATTAGACGGCAGAGATCATTTCTACATATTTTAAAACAATCGTTTTGTAAATTGGATATAATTGTTCAAATAAGAGCAATTTTAGTGAAAATTTTGGTGACGGATTTTCTCGTCACTCTGGGTTTCAAGGTCATTTTTGACGTGACGAGAAATTTTGCCACTCCTGGTAGTCAAGAGGTTAAAGAATATCTATACTGCTACTCAACACATATTTCTGTCTGAAACTCAATATCTACATGAGCTATGGATTTGAGAAGCAAATGACAGATCACGATACAGGCTGTCAGGAATTCAAGTAACAGGTGCGCTTACTTGACAGCATTGTGATTATTATTATAATATCTTGGTTACCGCCATATTTGGCGAGCAATACCTCATTGGTATATTCCGTATTTTACGTATTTTACACTCGAAGATAGAGCCAGAAACCCCTCCTTGGAGGAGCCCTGTTTTCTTTTATGTGCACAGGTACACAGGCATACATGTACACACCACAGCCTTTTATACGAGTCGTGAACCACTCAGTCAAACACCCAGAATTACATAACGCACAAACAAACTTGTCTGAACCGGGAATCGAACCCCGGGGCCAAGCGATATTGGTAACCTTGACTCTCTCTGCCACTGAGCCATAGCGGGTGGATATTGACATTAGTAACATAAATGCATTACTTTTATCTGAATATGTAGCCTTCTATATGTAGGTCTATTATACAAAACAGTGAATAGTACGTTAAAAACGTATAGCTGGAATTCTCAGGCTAAATGATCCCAAAAATATTTGTCATTCATAATGATATGTATTGTAACTTATTAGAAATGTGCTCAGCTTGAACTTATCAGACTGCTTACTAAGTGAGGAATTGTTTCAACATTTGGTATTTTCAGAAAAGAAGGTTTATCTCCGTGTCTATTAATTGGATAAGTTACAATTATCATTGTGAATTGAACATATTATAGGGTTGTTTATGATGATGAGATATACAACCTTTAATAAATGCCTAAACTTGGACCTGTTCTTTGAATTCAAATTAAAGTCTAAATGGTATAATTATCCCCTATTTATACATATTCATCCCAGAATATGTCCAAAGGATGAGACGTATGTTTTAATAAATGCCATAAATCCATGAGCAAGCGAAGAGAAAACCTAATTTAAATGCAATTAAAAGTATGAAATACTTTGTAATATTCTTAGAAAATCTACAATACAATTTATATACACTTGTTTAATTAATGAAAAAAACACTTTAAACTGCCTCCCATCCAATGGGTGATATAAGAACTGACACAGAGGCCAGTTGTTATTTCAACATACAGTGAAATATGTTTAAGTGGAAAACATTTGGTATGTCTACAAAGTGTTCCAGTTCAGAGGTGTTCCACTTATAGAGGTTTGTTTAAAGTAAGTCATTTGGTCATGGCACTCGTACTCATAAAGGTGTTTGACTTATGGAGGTGTTTCACTTTCAGAGGTGTTCTACTTTACAGGTCTCACCGTATATAGGACAATAACATGAGAACTATTTCTTTATTTAACATGCACCCTGCTCTTACATCTACTGATATCTACATCTACTCATATTCTCTCCCTTGAGGAAATAGTTCCGTAATGACATTATCTACGTCGATATCGGACGTCCCCTGAACGATATTGTGAACGATCATTGGATTCTGGCCGCCAGTTCTTGAAGCATCACGCTGAATGTTCATACTCTCAACCATATCAGAATGATGAACACGTTTTATATGCGTCTTAAGATTGCCTTTCTGCGTAAACCGGCTTTCGCAGTATGTGCATTGATAGTCCTTCTGGCCTGTATGATTTCGCATGTGGATCATTAAGGCATTCTTTTGGTTGAAGCGTTTTGCGCACACTTTACATTGGAATGGTCGCTCACCTGAAAAAATATTTTTCATTTTTATATTTTCTTTTTTAGGTTCAATGTTTTTATTTGGAAAATAAATTATAATTCTTTTACATGATTGTGGAGCTCCGATGTTATTAGCATTATTTGCCCCCTTTTAGATTTTCTTATTTTTCCTAATTTAAGGATGCAGTACTGGGTCGGTTTTCACGTCTGTTTGCGCAGGTTTGACTTCCGGTTTGAGAAAGCTAGCTCCCAAGAACGTCATTTTGGGTGGGTAAAATATATTTTTTTATTTTGTAATTACCAGACGGTCAATCCTCTTCATATTGCACTTGGATGATGATAACATCATAGTGATACATTGTAAAAAATATGAGCAAAATCTAATGTCTGGAACTTTTTCTACGCTGACCTGGTACTGCATCCTTAATAAATAGTATTGTGTGCATGTGTGTACGAATATGTAGCTTATTGTATGTACACCTTATCAACCATTGTAATAAAAATGTTTGAACATTTTATAATATGAAAAGGAAGAAGATAATTTTAAGCTCCACTTAAACATGTGCCATGCAAAATTTAATCACATTAACAACTTAAATACAGTATTTGAGTTGAGTTCCTTTTATAACGTCATTATGTATGGCATTCACAAAGTCTCCAAAAGCAATTTTCTAATCATTATTTCTGTCATTCCATTCATTTGATATTTCTGTAACAGCAAGAACATTGTAATAAGTCAAAGACAAACAAAAACATACAAATACAATAATTCATCACAATGCTTAACAAAGTAAATATGAATACAATTGTAAAAGAATAAGAAGATTAATGTTATATACAGTACATTGAACCTATTATAAAGATATTTCTGGTTAGACTATGACCATATGGACTTTCATATCAGACCAGGTTCTCTCTGGAAAGTACAATAACGCCATAGTACAATGATTCCAAAGTACAATAACTCCATAGTACAATGATTCCAAAGTACAATAACTCCATAGCACAATGATTCCAAAGTACAATAACTCCATAGTACAATGATTCCAAAATACAATAACTCCATAGCACAATGATTCCAAAGTACAATAACTTCATAGTACAATGATTCCAAAGTACAATAACTCCATAGCACAATGATTCCAAAGTACAATAGCTTCATAGTGCAATGATTCCAAAGTACAATAACCCCATAGTACAATGATTCCAAAGTACAATAATTTCATAGTGCAATGATTCCAAAGTACAATAACTCCACAGTACAATGATTCCAAAGTACAATAACGCCATAGTACAATGATTGCATAGTGCACATGACTCCATAGTGCAATGATTCCAAAGTACATAGTAGGATATGAGTTCTGTGTTTTTCAAAAAATACCTTTGTCAATTCAAATCCAAAGAAAATCCTGAAAACTACAAGTTAGGCCTATGACAGTCAAGTTATTTGGGTCATATGAACATTAAATCCAATTTTTCCTTTATTGTGTTGTTTGATCTCGCTATGAACTTCCATGGGGCATTTTTTTGATCTCCCCTGTAATATCCCTGATCTCTCCCATGATTTCACTTACAACATCCTATATGATATCTTGTATAATCTCCCATACATACAATGATCTTGCATGATCCGCAGTGTCTGATTACTTACCGGTATGTATTCTTATATGTCTCTCCAGTTGACTTGGCTTGTTGAATGCCTTGCCACAATGTTGGCATTTTTGCGTCATCACCTTGCGTTTAGGGTTGGCTAAATTAGGGTCATGTACACCCATATGTTCCTTGAGGTGACCCAATCGTTTGAAGGTTTTCTTGCAAATCTAAATAAAAAGAGAATCAATTAAGATTAAATTTCATGAGGTATTTCACAAAGTTACCTTGCAATGACCAGTAGACTAGCTATTAAAGATTTATCAAAGATATTATACCTCATATTTTTTGAGATCCTTAAAAAATCCTTTATGGCCTATTGTAACTTTCAGGGCCCTTATACCTTAACTCAAAGGAACCTCCTCCCCTTCATAATACATCAAGCTTAAATAACAGATACTTACCCCACACGTATGAGGTCTGTCGGGTGTATTGTCTGGATGAGCAAAATCTGGATCTGGTGGCACAATTGTCACAGAGTGAGTTTGTTCAACATTAATCTTGTTAATATCACTTGAGTTCAGGGTGACCAATTGGACCTCATCTTGTTGGAGTTTCTCTTGGTTCTGATTGTCGTTGTTGATCTCTAATACAGTTAGTTCCTCAACAGCTTTGCTAGATTCATCTTCTTGTAGTGTGTCAACTTCTTGGTCCTAAAACAGAAAATTATAAAACATATGATCAAATATTACCCTTTACAACAGCCTACTCCTATACTCTTTAATTATCCTCTGATCAGTCTGTGTTAGAGCCTAAGTCACATTTGCTTTATGGAGGGCCTGCTTCTCAAAATCGATATAGGAAATCTACATCGTACTACTTATCCCTATATTTTATGCTGCATGTTTTGGAAAACTATGGGCACTGGTACTAATTTAGAATCATCATTACTAAATAAGCTTGACATCTTCAAGAGATTTTATAACAGTCAGAGGCGAGTGTGATGAGGTGGTTGGTGCAGGGTAGACAAAAATTGGGAAGAATAACAAATGGTGGAAATGTGCTCTAAAACATATAGAAACATGGCATTAATATGCAAACTGTCACCAAGTGCCAATTGTTACAGATGCTGAATGCCCACAGCTGAACACTAACTGCCGAACACAGTCAACAAAAAGCTTGGAGACCATAACAGTATGTTACCACTTGTGGTGGTAACATAAAAATCATGATCTATTTGACAAAAATGAATGTCACAGGAAAATCTTACAAAACAGGACATGATAATATAAATGATTAAACATTACAATAAATCATATTTTATATTGTTTAATTTGCTTTGCTAATCGTCAAATCCTGGTTACTACCATAGAAAACAATAAAATGGGATAATCATTTTAGTGAAAAGGCCATATTAGCTATACAAACACAAAAAAAAGTTGACTGACTCACTTGACTATATTTATATTGAGAATAAACTAACTTATTTTGCATTTCATTCTCTAAAATTAGAATTTAATTGATGGCTGTTTGTTAATTTACTGCATGTGATTAATTAACACAAATTAATGATAAATTGGTCGTTTAGTTTATTTATTGACATTCATCAAGACATAGTGTTGCCGTGACAATGACCTTATCCTGTGTCAACAAATTAATATTGTGTGAAAATGTGAGTAATTATCAAGGAATAACATAAACTGCCGAAAGTCAACACTCTGAATTATATAGAAATGACAAAATCAGTACCCTTTTCAATCATATCAATTTATCCAACCCTTTTCAATCATATCATATAAGGCGTATCAAAATCCAGCTTCTCTTTCAGAATTGATGTCACTGAGTTTTATGCCATCAAAAGAAGCTGATCTTATCAGAATTGAAGCTGTAAAATCTTCTCTTTTTGTCAGAGCATAATGATTATTACTACTGGTCTATGGTTTACAGGGTAGAAAATCAGACATTCCATTCAAATCTAGTAGAGAAATCAGAGATATATTTCTATGAGCAGACGACACTCAGCTAGATCAGAAGATGCACTATTTGCTGGCATCTAAAAATTGTAACTCTTAATGATCTTAGTCAGAGCATAATGATTATTACTTCTGGTCTATGGTTTACAGGGTAGAAAATCAGACATTTAATCAAATTTAAGAGAGAAATCAAGTGAATTGTTTCCTTGAGCAGACGACACTCAGCTAGAGCAGAAGATGAAAATATGCTGGCATCCCAAAACACATTAACAACATTTAACTATGTAAAAACTGAACAATGAAAGCAGATGAAGGCACATATGTTGCAGTATAACAGTATAAAAATGCCCTCATAAATAAATACTGGGTGACAATATTGCGACATAAATTGCAGATGAGGGAGATAAATCGTCGTGAAATTGATGGAACAATGGGCGTTAATCCTAATGTATTTGCTACGACTGAGCCCAGGCTTCCTAACAGCGAACTAACACCCATAACTTTAAATACTAAACTCATTGGGAAACAATTACCGTGATTTATGTAATTAACTCAAACAAATGCTGGCATTTCTTATGATATTACATTGACGAATGGGACGTTGGGCCTAATCAAATGCGCGTTTTATGTGTGACTCGTATGTTATTGTTCGTCTCAGTGAACATGCAAACAGAGACTTCACTGTTATTAAAGCCCCCTTTATGTCCCAATAACAGAGGATTTATGCATTGTTTCTAACTCCGATTGACATATACCATTAAACACTTCATGTATATTCTTTCATTTATATTTCATTGCCTTGTAATGCTAGCTTTGTTCATATAGCTCTCAGTAGGTCTAAATTGTATATTCTGAATGCTGAAACATTATAACACAAGGCATTAACATGCCAAATGTCACCACCTGCCATTTGTTACAGACACAGACCACCAAACACCAACCACTGAATGCCAAACACCAACTGCTGAACACCTAAGCTTCTCACAGCTGGGGACCCAAACATCGCCAAAAGGAAGGACTCTGCATAACAGAATAATGTACCAACAGAAAGGAATTTTTGTTTTACTTTGTATGGAACAAGTTTGAAGAAAATGGTGCAGTATGAGACTCACAATCCTTGATTTTCAATTGTCTGGTTGGCCTGAAATTCAAATTAACGTTCTTTGTGTATAGCTGGACCCTGTTTATACATGTTGCTGGCAATTTTGTCACTCCCAATAGATCTGATTCTGCCTTTAACTGTATGGATCTTTTGAGAATAGCTCCTGACATAAGAAATTTTCCAAACTTAAAATATAGCGATTGGCATCTGGGTGCAAAACTGTGAATTAATTTTCAGCTCAGTGCAAGGTAATTTTTGAATGTCTAAGATTAAACACATTTTGTTCCACCTATTGGAACGAGAAAGTACTAAATTTCATTACATCTGCCTGTCTAAATCTAGTGATATATGGATATTGATATGCTCTATTACGATGATTTAACAAAAGCTTGGTATTACATTAAGCCTTTATATTGATGAATGAGATATGAGTTGCAATTGAAAAGTCTGCCATATAATAAAACAGTGAGAATCAACAATCTAGAAATCTCTAGTCCCCATGAAATCGTCTTGCAGGTTTTTTAAAATAAACTTGCAAAAGTTTCTTCAAGTACTGTAGACTTGCATAGGTTTCTTTCAATAGATTTGCATAGGATTCTTCAAATAGACTTGCAAAAGTTTCTTCAAATAGACTTACAAACGTTTCTTCAAATAGACTTGCAACCGTTTCTTCAAATAGACTTGCATAGATTTTTTCAAATAGACTTGCAAAAGTTTCTTCAAATACTAGATTTGCAAAAGTTTCTTCAAATAGACTTGCATAGGTTTCTTCAAATAGACTTGCAAAAGTTTCTTCAAATAGACTTACAAACGTTTCTTCAAATAGACTTGCAACCGTTTCTTCAAATAGACTTGCATAGATTTTTTCAAATAGACTTGCAAAAGTTTCTTCAAATAGACTTGCAAAAGTTTCTTCAAATAGACTTGCAAAAGTTTCTTCAAATAGACTTGCAAAAGTTTCTTCAAATAGACTTGCAAAAGTTTTTTCAAATAGACTTGCAAAAGTTTCTTCAAATAGATTTGCAAAGGCATCTTCCAAAAAGTCTGGCAAAGAAATATTCAAATTATTTTGTGTAAAATAGTCTTTCAAAGTTTTGAATTGAGTTTCCTTACATTCAAAAGAATCTCACCTTTTGCATTAAATCAACTGACAAAATATTTTGAATCTTCAAAATCCAGAAAAACAACCTAGAAACATGAGGTAAAAATACAAACATAAAACCTTGACGCAAACAATGAAAAAGCAATCAAAAATCAAATCAAAAGAAGCGGGTACTTTGATCCTCTTAATTGTTTACAGTATTGTTTTTGCTAAAACCATGCAATTATATTGATGCGTATTTATAATTAATCAAAGCTGAGAGGCATTGTTCTCAAATAGGGCACAATGTGAGCCATGGCAATGGAACCATAAAATGAACAACCCACGTCAAGCTGCAAGAATACTAATATACTGTTGTAACGGGCCAGTAACCAGGGGGTTCAGGGGTACAAGCGAACCCTCCCTTAAGCCAAATATTCTTTCAAAACATGCAGCTTTTCACCACTCTGAGCACTTGAGTGATTTTGGCCATTTTTGGGCCAAAATTGTCAAAAGTGAATCACGCTTGACAAAAGCTGGCTATGGGGCTATGTAACATAAAGTATTTTACAATAGTGTACTATATTCAGTAAAATGTGGTAATTGCTGATGCTATCAAATATCTTCATTATATACCTTATATTTTTATACCTTTTTAATTTTTCCCTCTTGAATTTTCAAAATCACAAACATAGTTTATTTTGATATCAATTTTATATCAATATCAATCTGAGTTATATGGGGTAGGTATCAAATGATCATAAATCAAACAATTGAACCCATTTAGCCACACCCCAAACCCAGCACCACATTCAAGGTAGAAAACATGAAAACTAAAAGCGTAATAATTTCATGCACAGTAAGGCTAATTTATGGTTTGTAATATTAGCTGTGATTTTGCCGTAGGTGTTAAAAGATGAGCCTTCAAACAGGCAACCTATTCTAAAGTGTCGTCTGCAATTTCTTATTTCACTCAATTTCTGTCTACAATTTGAAAGAAGCATGCAATTTTATGACATTTCTTAATAATTTAGAGTATGGACTACAAGTATATCTACATTATTCCTTTCTATTTCCTTCCTTTTCCACTCTATTTTTCATTTCAAAACATGACCCCAATAGCATTTTTCATCTCGGTATGATATAATGTTGGCAGATATTAGACTCACTATAATTAAAGTCAGCCAATAAAAAACATTTCTTTTTATTAAAGGTGTTACGGATGAGACAAATCATTTTCTATATTTATCATAGTCAGTAAATACAATTGCAAATGGTGATATCTTACATAAAGAGCAACTACGGTCAGATCTGCACTTCAAAAGGCATTCTCATCATGTACACAAATACGATGTAACTCAAGTGGAAAAACTCTAAAAACAAGATGCTGAAATGTACAGTGATTTCTCCAGGTTCTTTTTGCAACAACAGGGTGTTTATAATTTGACATGAATAGTCACTGGTTGAAATTCATCTTTCAACAGAGTAGCATTTAATTTTGAATTTCCAATAGGGTGCAGCACTGTTTTTTTTGCTGGGGATATCACTACAACACAT